CGTGATGGCCGCGGAAGAAAGAAGAAAGTGATGGAAGTCAATGAGACGCAAATTAGTAAGTCAGCTGCCCAAGTTGAAGGTTTACACTCTAACAGTTCAACAGTCAAAGCAAAGCTCGACTCTCCATCTGGCAAGAAGATACGCAAAAGCAAACACGGATCTGAGCCCACTATGACCATGCATACCAGGGCTGCCACGGACGACATCTACGATATATTCAACGCCCCATTGAAACGCAGTCCTGATGAAGGAGATGCCAGTGACGAAGAGTATGAAACAGACAGCAACTATACGACCAGCAATGCTGAAAGTACTTGCACAACGCGTCAGATCTCTACCAGTGAAGCTGGTGACACGGAGGAAGACCAAGTGGCCAAGGATGACGAAACCTCGGATGTCCGGAGTCTTAGTGAATGGTCTGACTTCTCAACCAGACGCCACGTTCCGGATATTAATGGAGAGGATGAGGATGACAACCGCTCCGTGGTGTCGGATCTGGTCAACATTCGGGATGCGGATCCTTCTCTACGCTTCACAGAGCACACCATCACAGGTCCAGAATTTGACGACAATGGTGACCTCATGGATGACGACCTACCGTCGCCGCCTAGAACGCGCACGACATTCGTTCCAATACCACCAGAGGATTGGGTTCCCAATCCGAGGCCATACAGAGATCCAGTCGAGGTGGCTAATAACCGCCTCCCCTTCATGACGCCTATCACTGAGAGGACGGAGTCGTCGCTCAAGGTCGATTCCGCAGAGAGCTACGACCGCTTTGGCGCCCCCAAGACTCCTAGCAAGAGAGATGATGGGCTGCTAGAAGAAGTCGAGGAAATCGATCTTGAGCCTCTAAGCAGTCCGCTGAGGGAGGTTGTCAATGAAAATTCGCCTGTCAAGAAGTTCCCGTTACTACCCAGATCAAGAGCTGCCCTGGCACCCAAGGCCGTGCAGAAGGGCCCTCTCGTCAAGGATGCTCAGTGCAACCCTGTGGATGACTACATTCGAAATGAGATCCTCGAGAAAATGCACCCGCCGTTGAGCTCATACCCTGGATTCTTCGACCACCATGATGAGACCTACGGGAAAGGAAATGAAATCCGCAAGTGGATCAAGGCGACCAAGAACAGCAGGAGCAGCACTGATCGGACGGCAAACCTGGGTGCTTCGATGGTTGTTCGTCTCCCAGGTGTTGAGGCCGAGTACACCCTCAAGAGAGAACTTGGGGCTGGCGCGTTCGCGCCTGTTTACCTCGTTGAAAACTCTTCACCTAACCAGGATGCCGATGAAGTGGCTATGGGCGAAGCTTCTTCATCCGTGGCACACAACCGTCGCGCCCACCTCGAAGCCCTCAAAATGGAAGCACCACCCACGCCCTGGGAATTCTACATGATGCGCCTCTCGCACACACGCCTCGGTCCCCACCATCGGGCGACAGCATCCCTCTCCGCCGCGCTCGAAATGCACCTATACCAAGACGAGGCCTTCCTCCTGCTCCCCTTCCATCCGCACGGCACGCTCCTCGACGTCGTCAATCTCTTCCGTGCCGAATCCTCTGGCGTCATGGATGAGGCGCTGGCTATGTTCTTTACAATCGAGCTGCTTCGCACAGTGGAGGCGCTGCATGCCAAGGGAATTCTGCATGGAGATTTGAAGGCTGATAATTGCCTGCTGCGGCTGGATGACCTGCTCTCTACTAGCGGTAGCCATCTCAGCAGTCAGTGGCGCGCGGACGGGTCGGGAGGCTGGGCGGCAAGGGGTGTCACGCTGATTGACTTCGGAAGAGGTATCGACATGCGCGCATTCACCCCCGAGGTGCAATTCATCGCGGACTGGAAAACGACGGCGCAGGACTGCGCAGAGATGCGCGAGGGCCGGCCGTGGACATGGCAGATTGACTACCACGGTCTCGCGGGCATCGTGCACTGTTTGTTGTTTGGTAAGTATATCGAAACCGTGCGGTGTGATGCCGGCGGACTTGGAACACAGGCGGGCAGGAGGTATAGAATCCGCGAGAGCCTAAAGAGGTACTGGCAGACGGAAATTTGGGGACAATGCTTTGAGGTGCTGCTTAACCCTGGTGGAAGTGTTGAGGGAGAAGAGGGCGCAAGGATGCCGATCCTGCGGACGTTGAGAGATGTTAGACAGAGAATGGAAGGTTGGTTGGAGGTGAATTGCGAGAAAGGGGTGGGGCTGAGGGCGCTGTTGGGCAGGGTCGAGGCTGCTGCTAAAGCAAGGAGGGTGTAGAGATCACTATTTCACTCGCTCGCTTGTCTTTTTTGGGGTTGCGAAGGGGTTGAATAGCAACAGAGCATGAGCGTCACGATTTGGGCGTGGGCATACCAAGGGCGTTTTGGAAAGACGGCATGGTATTAGCGACAGAGGCTTGATAAGATGGCACGCTCGTTTCTTTTTCTTTATGTCTTTTTCTTCCCCATCCAATTCTGGAGGAAGCTTCTTTCGTTCTTGTGGTTCCTATAGTACAGTGGTTAATGTCCATATACCCATTTCCTAGCGATCATTTAATGGAGACGCATCCAAGCATCGCTTAATCGCCGTGCCAAAACGCCTGTGACCAACTTTTTCCCATGGACAATGCTTTGGTAGTGATACATGCCCCTTCTTTCAAAAAAAAAAAAAGAGGAGAGGCACTCTCGACTTACTCGTCATCCTCGTCGTCGGAAGCTGCCTTTTTCTTGCCCTTCTTTCCCCCTTTCTTCGCATCCTTCGCCGCCTTCGCGTCAACCTGCAACTGCACCCTTTTCCTCTCAGCCTCGCCCTGCGCAGATAATTTCTTCTCTTTCGCCTTGAACTCCTCACTCTCTGGGTCGGCTCCGATCAGCCATTCCAGTAACTTAATCTCGTCCGCCCACACCTGCTTGTCCTCGACTGGCTTTCCCTTTGCGTCCTTTTTCTGTTCATCAATAGGCGTCTCCAACACCAGGGGCATGTTCTGAAACCCGTCATAGTTCATGAAATTGTGGAATGCGCGCAGGCCGAGAAACCCGGTCCCGATGTTGGCGTGCAGGTCGCGATGCGATTCGAACGGCGCCTTGCTGTCGTTCAAGTGCAAGGCTTTGAGGTACTTCAGTCCAACGATGCGATCGAATTCCTCCATGGTTGCCTTGAACGCTTCGGGCGAGCGCAAATCGTAGCCGGCCGCAAAAGAATGGCACGTGTCGATGCAGACGCCCACACGGCTCTTGTCCTCCACGCCGGCAATGATGTCGCGCAGGTCCTCGAACTTGCCGCCGATGATGTTCCCGTGCCCGCACATGTTCTCCACGACAGTTATGACGCTCTCCGTCTCCTTGTGGCTGCGATTCAGCTGCGCCGCAATGCGCGCCGTCGCAGCGGCCATGGTATCCCCGCCCGTCGAGCCCGGGTGGAAGTTGTACAGCTTGATGCCGAGGGCGTCGCAACGCTTCAGGTCGTCGATAAAGTTGGTGTAGGCCTGGTCAGCTTTGGCGGGGTCTGCCTGCGCCAAGTTGACGAGATAGGAGCCGTGAGGGAGGACGTGCTGGCCTTGTGCATAGGAGTGTTTGGCAGCGGCGACGTGGAAGGCGTCGCGAGCGGTGGGATCGAGGGGCGGAGAGATCCATTTGCGCTGGGATTTGAGGAAGAGTGCGAAAGCGTTGCCGCCGATTTGTACGGCGTTGGTAATGGAATTCTGGACGCCTGTAAGGAAGGTAAATTTGTTAGTAAAGACCAGGTGACGAAGAGAGATGGGTTGGTTGTGAGCTTGAAACTGCGGCTTTGCAGTCTCGTTGGGCCTGCTTAGTAGATATTCGAGGCGGATCCGGGGCCGATCCGGACGCATGCAATGAAAAAAGGCAGTGCCGCCTTACCTCCAGCTCCAGAGACGTGCGCGCCAATGTACATGGCCTTCTTGAGCGAGCTGACGGCAGTGCGCGCGGCGAGAGGTGCCATGTCGTCTTCCTTATCCTTCTTGGACTTGCGCTTCTTGGGCGCGGGTTCCTCCTCCTTCGCGTCTTCTCCGTGGCTATCGCACTCGTGGTCTTCCTCAATGTCGCTTTCGTCGGCAGCCTTGCGCTTTTTGGAAGCTGTCGCCTTCTTCTTGGTGGGCTTCTCGACCGGCTTCTCTTCTGCTTTTGCTGTGGCAGGGGCTGCTCGCTTGCGTTGGGAGGTGCGAGGAGGCATTTTTTGGGTGATTACATGGAAGGAAAATATGAGAATTTGGTGTGAAGGGCAAGATTGGGTCTGTCAGTCGGTATTGGCAGTGTCTGCAAGTAGTCGAGTGTCGTTGAGTTTTGGGGATCGATGATGTAAACTGATCCTTGTAGAAACGCGGTCGCGAAACGCGCTGCCACGTGCGAGCGAGGCGCTAACCTCAATCACGGTCCAAGGCATCAGACTGTGTGCAAAATTGCACCAGAGGGATCTATGATGAATGCTTGTAGTGAATGTATTTTGAGGTACTGTAAATATAATACACATGTTATATGTGACCTGCAAGGACAAAAGATGGACCCGCCGTATTGATGCTGTTCTCGTGGGAGTCGTTCACGACATGCGGAGAGGGTGGAAAGAGCGTCAGTCATCCTATATGTCCAGCATATCAATCAGTATCTGGAAGCGTACGGTTAAGTGTAGCATGGCAAAATACCGATTCGAACCTTGCTCGCTGGCTCGTATTGGCTAACTACAACGAGTCATGATGCCGGGAAAAATCGAGCTCCCAATCTTTACAGGAGGCCTTGTCAACTTCCACATACTGACAGACCAACACTCCGACCAGTACTGTTTTATTACATCAAACTGACAAGAGCGCCCCAGCTTTCAAGCTTCTTGTACTGCAGAGGTAAGGATAGTCCGTCTAATAACATAGTCTTGTTCCTATCTCAAATCAATGAAATGAGAAATGGAAGAGTAGAGTGGGGAATATATTCTAACAACACGAGAATACTTTTTAATAATTCGGCCTCGTGTAAGTTAGCTCAGTGGTATTGACAACAAGTGATTCAACCTAACTTTATACAGGGCCTAATGGTTAAGGCATCCGATTTCGGTATGGAATCCATATCTCGGAAGATTGGGAGTTCGAATCTTCCCGGGGTCGCGTCTTCTTTTTTTAATTTTCCTTAGAGATGTACTACCAGATGTAGGTGTAACTATAGTCGTCTTAACCGTCATAGAGAAACAGAAGTGTATCACTAGACTACAACCATAAGACTCTGTTGAGTGTTAGTCCGTGATTCCAATTCATTTGTTCATGCCATTGAGCTCACGTTCACGAGGCCGAATTCATACCCTGTCTGCCTGTCCATCTGGATTGGGATTTATATATACCATCTCATCTTCAAGAAATGCCTATCGCCGCACGCACAGATTTCATTGCTACGCGGAGCTAGATTCAACAACAAACGCAATCGGGAAGCCAATCTGCAAAGTGTTTGAGGATCGGCACCGCCAAGCAGTGAACAACCCGCCGGTGTCAGAAACATCCTCAACATCTCTGCGAACCAGCTCGACAAGACGGTAATTCGACGTCGTGGCTACCCAGGAAGCTCCAATTAGGCCTTCTAATACGATTGGACGCTCCTTATAGCTTTGACCTAAGGCAAGACGACAGTCAGCGATGCGTGGCCAACAATGTCTGAGACATGCTTCTTGAGTAACTGTTGTCGTCGCACCCCACCTTGATCTACCTGATATTACGCCAATCTCAGAGACATGGGCTCAAGGGACAACGGAGACCTGCTCAGCCGCACAGGATTTTATCCCTGTTCACCTGCTACCCTCCTGACATGGTGGTGGACACTGTGCACAGCTCTCGTCAGCTTCAGCTACTGTGTAGATCGCTTAGTGGAGCTTTTTTATCTTTCTCTTTTTTCCTTGTTTATTTTAGCTCAACTTGGACCTGGCATTCGTATCTAGATGCCCACGTTGTCTCCGCTTCAGGACCTCAAGTCTTTCTCCATTCCGTCAATTTGAAGTTGAATCTTGTGCTGGAGTCTGTCTACTTTGGCCTCTTCATCCTCGACCTAATGGAAGACATTCAGGAGACGACCGCAGACCGCAGCGCCCAGTCACTGAAAGCGACACCAAGAGCGCAAGACGAGTAGTCCCCAAAATGGACTGCCTGGAAATATATTCTCAGATGGGCTATCATCGTCAGCGTGGTTGTGACTACCATCACCTCCCTGGTTTGGATCAAAGCCCCGTTGTCAAGGGAAGACTGGATCCTTTTATCACCGCTGTATGCTCTACCATATGTGAGTGTGTTTGAACGTTACCATCGAGAATTATCATGTGTTACCCTCCCCCCCCCCTTGTGACCTCACACTTCCACAATCAAGTCAAGAGCCAATGCTGACAAAGTGTCATCACGACACAGCCAATACTGAGTCTTATATGGGAGGCCGCCGAGATACTCGTCATCCTCCGCCATAAGAACAACAAATCCAAGGGCATGCACCCAGGGGCGCATGTTGGCTGCGAGCTCATTTTATGTGGGGCTGGCGCAAGTTTAGGTTCAGTGTGGATCAGTGTCACGTCTAGCTATCTGCAAGACTCGTACTTCTACAATGGCAATTCAGGAGTAACGCTGAGTACATTGAGAACCTGGGCTTCCGTTACTTACTTCTGGGGTGCTGTCGTTCTTCTCATGGCGTACGTTCATTCCCCCTCCCCTTTCCTCTCGAGCACCTCTCTCCGCACCAGCCAAAGCTACATACATATCGCCATTGTTTCTTCCTACCCCCTTTTGCTAACGAAACCCCCGACAATAAAAAGAGTCGTCCAATTCACGATCTTTGTCCTATCATGCATCGAGGTCGACCGCAAGCGTCGTCAACTTGAGTATCAAGTATCACAGATTATGAAGGCCATAGAAGACCGAGGCGGGAATCCGGAGGACTTATTGCGAACTTTACAGGAAGCTCCCAAAATGCCAAGTTACCCGCCGGTTGAGCTATCGGCGATTAATCATAATAATCCAGCAGAATTAGGTGTCGAGGAGAGAGCGACAGAGGTGGGAGATGAAAATCGAGCCGGTGAAATGCCCGCGAATACGCCACGAGAAGCCAAAATGAAGTATCGATTCTAATTGATACAGTTTCCGGCAGGATTATCACGCCTAATGTATATAATATCCTGAAATATAGCATCATATCAGTCGATTCATGAGTACTTCTAGATGTCGAAAATGTAGGAGTAGAGTTGCAGAAAAAGATGACTTTGAGTCAGTCTCAGGTAAGACACAAAGTTGCCCGCCGAGAACTGCGTTGTTGGCTACCTAGGATTTTGAGATGAGTTCAAGCACCTATGACATCCGAGTAGGTACATTCCAGCCCGAAGCAGCTGGTGCTATCTTCACGAGGACTCTGGGCCTCACCTGATAATAGAAAACGTGCTTCTACAGTAAATAATGTTGACAATATCTGTCTGAAATGGTAACATGGTCAAACAAATTGAATACCTGTTACAATGCCCACAGGATCATACTTTCTTCTATGAATTGATAACCATGGATGCCGCCTCCTTGAGCAATACCATCCTGTACATGAAAGTCATTGTGATATGTAGAGACATCTGAATTAACCTACATGACCACACATTTCTTATCCTTCTCTCCCTTCGCCGATGTCTGCGCGTTGGGGATGTTATATCCTCTCCTTGACGGTGCGCCGGCGCCCGATGCCCTTACATCCATCCAAGCACTCTGGCTCATCATATCAAATTCAGGAAGTCTCGGTTTAGTCTTCTTGCCCTTCTGGCTCTTGCTCCGACCGGGCCGCCAACCTTTCTTTTTGGCATCGGCGATATTTTTGGCAGCGCTACGCTCTGCGCGGGAGGCACGGCGATTTAGTGAAGAAATTCGTGAAGAGAAGTCGATGGGGTCCACTGCCGGCGACATGAGCTGGTTTGGGCTAAGATGTCCGTGGTAGATGTCCTCAAGCCTCTGGGCCGGACCAGCTGGTCGTGTCAGCCCAGGATGCTGACCAGCACGCGGATGGCGAGGCACTGGCGCGATGATGGGAGCCTGGGCATGCGGGTCCTGTGGCTGGCCAGTAGATGCATCGTACGTACCCTGGACACCATTGGGCGTGCTGATAATCAATGGTTGGTCTGATCCTGAGTGAGCATGATCGATTGAGCGAGTGCCGTTGTATGTACGGGAGTTGGGCGGCAAAGACAGACTGTAAACTTGTTGGGTCTTGGCATGATGGAATGTGTGAGCACTCCCAGGGCGCGGCGGGTATTGCTGATGTTGATACATAGCTTGAGTGGTGTCTGGTCGACGCGGCTGCTCTGTGATAGATAGAGGTCTGGATCTTTCCCCGGTCCGACTCTGGCTCCGATTTGTGGTGGGCATGCGAGGAAGATGGAAACCATTTGATATTCGCCTAGCCAATGACGACTCCCTACCACTGACCAGCTCAGATACTGAATCCTGGTGCCTGGGCAGCGGTGGAGGCTGGTCACGAGCAACCATGTCATCGACCGTCATGCTCGTGGGCGGTGCAGATCGCGGGTATCTCATGGCAGCTCTCGCAGCCGCAACAGAGCCAGGCTGTGGCATAGGCCATGTTTGAGATTGAATGACAGGCTCTGCGAAAGTTGCACTGGTGGTGTGCGGATTCCAAGTCGAGCTAGCAGACGAAGGCTCTGGTAGCACCTGCTGCTGACCAGAGCCAGATGGCTGACTGGCATCACGGGGTGGCCTTTCGGCAGTTGTCTGAATCCGTGGGACCAGGGGAATTATACGCTGTGTGCCTGTGTAGGTTGTTGTAGTAGCGATTGAAAGGGCCGGCGAGGGGTTGGAAACCTGGCGAACGTGCATTCGGGGGCGGTCACCTGTCTCACTCGACTGACGGTCCGCAGATGCGCTGTTCCGCGGCTGTGGGCTGTCGGGCGGAGAGACATTGTAGATGTCATCTTCTTCGTAGCGTGACGATACCGGAGCGGCCGGCTCGACTGATGTCTGCGATGTATGCATCGCAGGGAAGCTCGCCACAGAGTGGTGAGCTGGAGCCTGGTCATGCATACTCTGGCGTCGGTCAGGCATATGCGTTTGACGCCTCGAGGCCCGGGACTGCGACGGTGTGAGTTTAGTTCCTACGGCGCGCCTTGAAGTTGCTGCTAATTGGACATGAGAGCCTGGTGGAAGTGGCGGGATGGACGTAGGCATTGACGGCACCTGTGGAACAGGAGGAACATCCTCGCCTTGTTGGTGAGGTTGCGCCGCGGCCAACATAGGTACCATTGAGTGACGCAAAAATGCGGGTGCTTCCCCAGGATCCTCCTTCTGATACGGAGGAGGTGGTGGGACCCAGTTATCTGCATCGCTCTCATGAGGGTGCTCAGCCCGTCCATCGGCCCTACGGTACTCGATAGGAGCTCCCGTCGAGGTTGTCGGATGGTGTCGTCTGTGATTCGCTGCAGCAGTTGCTGCACGTCGCAAAGTCGTGATTGACCGCGGCCCGGTATGAGAGTAAGGTGCGTCCAATGCCTCCACTTCCTCGAGCACAGCTTGTGTTTCTGTCTCGGTAGTTATCATGGAAGCTGGACGAGGTCTCGTTGGCGCAGCAGTAATCCGACGCGGGAGCAAAGGATCGTCGTCTTCGGCATCATCGTCAATTTCCTCGCTTGCACTCCAAGTCGTGGGCCATGCAGTAGTCGTAGCAGCCCGCATAACTGCGCTGCGATTTCCCCATCTTTGCGCCACGGTTCGTCTCCTCACTATGGCGACCTCTGTTTCCAGATCACGCCGTTCCTCTTCCAGAATCTCGGGCTCCTTCATACCAACTTCAATGGTAATTTCGTCCACATGACCATCTTCTATTCCATAATCGAAATCGACCAGTGTCAGTCTCCCACCATCCTCAAAGTCCATGCCATCATCATCCATACTGATGGGTTTGGCGGGCGTGGCACCTTTGGCTGCGATCACCAAACGCTCCTTCAGGGACGAGTCTCCAAATGAGGCCACCCATTTCACTGTACTGACCCCACTGAGTTCTGCAGCTTTAAAGCCTCCACGGAAGGTATTCCGATACTTGTCGCACAGTAACTGCCACTGTGGCACCCGCCCTTCACCGGCCTCTTGTGTCCTAG